CAATCCACTCACCTCAGCCTCCCAAAGGCGCGGGATTACAGGCTGAGCCACCGAGCCCGGCTCAGAACCAGCTTTTAATGAGCAAGAGGAGAGGGAGGAAACAGTGGGAAGAATGAGGACTGATGTCTGACCCCTAGCTGGGAGAGGGTGGAGGCTAATGGTCCAAAAGAGGATACCCCCTAATCTGCCCCACCCCCTGCAAACTGAGCTATTTCATCAAAGCTACTCCCAGGCATGACCCAGGGCTGCACACCCTCCAGGCCTGCAAGCAGACGCAGGAAGAGAGTCCAAACTGCATCTTTGCATGTCTCCTAGCCAACCCCATTTCTGGGACCCAGCAGATCCTGCTTAAAATGTTTCTGAAAGAGATCCCTACTTCGCTGAGTGTAAGCTCTTTGAGGACAAGGATTTTTTTGTTTGTTATTCCTCTAACACCTAGAACGGTGCCTGTCTCATAATAAATGTCTGTTGAACGAATAAGCAAGCAAGGCAACGAGAGCTGCCTGTGCTGTGGACCCTGAGATGTGGCAGGAGGGTCAGAGAGGATACCTTCTTCTTGCTGCAGTAGATCTGCCATTTCTTCTCAGGGGGCAGTGCAAACATAGCCTCCCGGTTTTTGTCCGTGAGATCCAATTCATCCTGCAAAGACAAAAAAAAATATGTCTGAAACTGGGGATGGCTGAGATTGGAATATTCAGCCTTACAGGACATTGCAATTCTCCCTAATCTATTCCTTACTTACCCTACTCTCTTCCTCCCAAAGAGCACCAAGGATAGGATAAGGCATTTCCTTTTCTACTAGAAATACAGTGCCACCCCCTTGCCTTACCCCAAACCTGTGCTGCTTCTCTCCATGCTCCCCTGACTTCCTGTCCATCCCTCCCTCCTGCTCCGGGTGACCCTGTTCCCCGCCCATCTCTTGCTAGGCCCTAATTCTCTTGCTCAGGGTTGCTTGTTTTCCTTCCCTTGTCTTTCTTAAGCTTGTCAACACCACAAGTCAAAGCCTGACCAAGAAGGGAGACATCTACAGATCTAGTCCTGCCTGTCTCTCAGATCCCTGCCCCCTCAGATTCAAGTTCACCCGGTCAAAGTGGGTCCCAGCACAGGCTGGTGAGAGCTGGTGAGGGCCAGGGACTGAGCAGAGTAGGAAGGCCATGCCATGTCAAGGGAGGCACTGATCTGCTTCCCATGGAGGAAGTGCCAGCCAGAGGCAGGCCCCCACCCCTCAGAACCACCAAGACAGGGCTGGGTACACACAAGGCTCCACTAGGCCAGTCCACACTTTCCAAGGAGTAAAACTGGGAAGTTTCTGAAGTCATCATATTTGGGGTTACTCTATAGGTTGTTTGGGGTGGCTTTATAGATTTGGCTGTGCTTGATGGTCTCTAAAAAGCTCTCTCTCTTTTTCTGAGTTGGAGTCTCAGTCCATCACCCAGGCTGGAGTGCAGTGGCACACTCACGGCCACCCCACGTCGACCTCCTGGACTCAGGCGATCCTTCTGCCTCAGCCTTTCAAGTAGCTGGAACTACAGGCATGCACTACCACACCCGGCTAATTTTTTTATTTATTGTAGAGATAAGGTCTCGCCAAGTTGCCCAGGCTGTTCTTGAACCTGTGGGCTCAGGCAATCCCCTCCCCTCGGCCCCCCAAAGTGCTAGGATTACAGGCTTGAGCCGCCACGCTCGACCAAAAGCTCTCTTTTTGAAGCGCCTCTGCTATGGTTCATGAGCAATGCCAAGGCTCATCAAAGGAATAGTTAGTGGGTCATAGGGAACATAGTGTGCTTTTCAACCAATTATTGTGTGTTTAAAAAAAAATCAAAAGCAAAACTGACATTAAGACAACAAAGCATGATATAACTAATCTTTATATTTTCAAATATGATAAATAGTGAAAATAATAGCTAAGGAAGTATAAGGGTCTTAAATTTCAATATCAATAATCTTTCTTTGTACTTTCGTTTGTTTGTTTGTTTTTTGAGACAAGGTCTTGTTCTGTTGCCCAGACTGGAGTGCAGTGGCGCACTTCATAGCTCACTGTAGCTTTGAAATCCTGGGCTCAGGCCCTCCTCCCAGCTCAGCCTCTGGAATAGCTGAGATAACAAGCATGTGCCACTATGCCTGGTTGACTTTTGTATTTTTTGAAGAGATTGGAGGGAGGCCTCAATTAATTGCCAGAACTGATCTTAAACTCCTGGCTTCAATCAGTCCTCCCATCCTGGTCTTCCAAAATGCTGGGATTGCAGGCATGAGCCACTGTACCCATCCTCCTTACACTTTTAGTCAAGAGAGAACAGTTAAGACTTTCCTTCACCCAGATCAGAACTATCCAGTAGAAATATAATATGGGCCACATAAATTTTTCAAATTTCCTAGTCACATTAAAAAATTAAAAAGATATAGGTGAAGTTAACTTTAATAATACATTTTATTTAAACTAGTATATATAAAATGTGGTCATTTCAACATATAATCAATGTAAAAATTATCAATGAGATATTTTACACTATTAGAAGAAATGAAGTCTTCAAAATCTGGTGTGTTCAGATGAGACAGGAGCCCCCCACACCCACAGACCACACATGTAGATGGCACATGCAAGGATTATTTGAAATAATGGCCATCAGTTCACCTGCCTTTGGAACCAAAGACTCCTGTAGATTTAAAACCAAACAAAGGTTCTTCTCTAGAACTGCTCTCTATAAAATCCAGGAATGCCTTGGTCAAAACTCCCAAAACCTTGTTTAAGGCTTCTTTTCCATGTTCAGAATCAGAAATAAAAGAATAATGAGAGTTTCGTGCATCTTACGTTTTCCAACACAAATTCCACACCTCTTCACCCTCTTTTGGTCTTTTAGAAAAGTAGTTTGGATTACCTCAAACCTGTGCTTAAAGCCTTCAGTGGCTTTCAATTGCCCTTAGGATTGGAACCCAAATCCTAGTTATTCTGTTCTTCACGATGCCCCCCAAAAGACTCATTCTTTTCTGACTAGAGACACTTACATATGCTGTTTCTTCTGCAGGGAACTTCCTTCATTGTCCTAGACCCCTGTTAGCTTATCTAACCATCACTGCTTTCAGAGCTCAGTGGAAATGTCCTTATCATATCAAATTTAGGAAAATTCATTGTTTCCTGATTTATACCTTTTCTCTGGATGGGATGAGGGGAGGGGGAACAAAGTATTTGCTCATGCAGAATAACATTTGGAGCCTGCTCACAGAGGCCATTGTGACCTCCTCCAGACTTGAATACAGCTCTCTGCAAGACACTCCCACAGCCCCTTGAATGCTCCCTGTCCTCGACCTCTTCACACTTGTCACTGCTCTTCAAGTTCAATCTTTCCTATTAGACTTCACATTCTTGGAGGCAGGGGACGTGTCTGAAGGTTCATCACTAAATCCCTAGGTCCTTCATATGACCCAGCACATGGCAGTGTCTCCAAGAAATAGTTTTAGTTTTTTTGATACATACCTAACGCCCTTCCTCTTGTAGGCAAGACTTGTCTGATTCACCCTTGCTTTTGCTAGAGTTCCTTGAAGGGTCCCTGCTCACTGAAGATGCTTAGTAAACATTTATTGTCTAAAAGGGTCAAAGAAAGGAGTACCTCTTACCATGTTCTTATTTCAAAATTCACATGGTCTACTCAAGAAAATGTTGGGCTCCAAATGTTACTCTGCATGAGCAAACGTTTTGTTCCCCCTCCCATGATCCCATCCAGAGAAAAGGTATAAATCAGAAGACAATGAATTTTCCTAAATCGGATATGATGAGGACAACTTTTTCACATAACCTGCATGGTCTCATCTTGTAGTGGCCCTGAAGGGCTGGATTGGCCTAACCAGGTGCATCTATTAGCAAGCCACATTCCAAACCATACCACACTTTTTACTGACCCATCATGGAATGAGCAACCAAGAGCTGATGGTAATTAAACTTGTGTTTATGGCTTTACGCCAGGGCTCAAGTACTGCATCCTGGGTCTGGGACTTCCTTTGGTGGGCACTGTCTCGCCATGAGATCCCCAAATAAAGGAATCATATTTCTTTCCTATTCTGTTTTCTTTTGGTCAGAGTATGAAGTGCTATACACAGGGGCATCTCACAAGGCAGACATGTACCAGTCTGCATGGGCATTGCAGAGCCAGGAAGGGCTGGTCCTCATGTGAATGGAGAGCTTCCAACTGCTCCTGGCTAGATGTGAGATATAACCATCCCACACCCAGACCAGGTCCCAGGTGTGATACAGGCTCCTCTACCTCCATGTTCCTAGTCAATTATCCTCTGTTCCAAGGTGCCCAGTGTCTGCACAGTTCCTGCTCTGTTCCTTCTTCCTGCCTTGAAGATTAAAGGTTCCCAGGGAAACTTCAGAGAGAGCAGAAGAGAGAATGGTTCCAAGCATTCTGATGTTCTTTGAGACTCTTTACCACCTTATTTCACAATAGCCCAGAACTGCCACTTCCTTATGATCACCAAACAGCTGACCCATGTGGTCTAGATTTCAATTCAGACAAACAGTAGGTCCATTCTTCTGGGGACATATGTCATGGTGTCTATCTCAGTAAGAGTCTCTGTTCCCCTCACACAGCTGAGGTGTCCTGGGGGTCCACCTCCTCCCCGAGAGGAAGTTTTGAGAGGTGGAGACCCCAGCCAGGAGCCCTGCCCTCTGTCCTGCTCTGTTTGCCCATCCACCCTCCTCCCTATTGTCCACACTCTCACTCCCCACCCCCTCACTGACCACCAGCTCTGCGAAGCGGACATTGAGCTCCTCTGGGTTCGGGATTGGGCTGGAAAACTCCATGTACTGCAGAGGATGGTTGTCCCGGAGGTTGATCTCAGGAAGGTTGCTGCCTCCAAAGCAGCACAGGAAACCCAGGCCATGGCGGCTTCTCTTGCGGGGGGCCATGGTCACTGTAGGCCGAGAGGGTCAGCAGGCAGATGCCCTAGGTCCTCATCGTAATCTAGGAAGAAGAACAGAGAGCACAAAGTGGTCAGGCATATAAGTCAGACAGGTGAGGACAGAGGTCACTCTGCCTTCAAAACCTCTGTCCCACAGACTGTCAGGAGCCCTTACCCTATAGCCAAGGTCCCTCCCTTCTCCCATAGCTTCTCTCTGTTCCCTTCAGCTCCTTCCACCTAGAGGCATTCACGCATCCTTCCCACCGTGACCTTTGAGTGTTGCTTGCCCAGACACCTTCACATTCCTCTTCCTTGCGCCCAGAAAAGAGAGGAGGGTTGTGGTTACAGAATATGACTTCCAGGTGGCCAGAACTATCTTTCCATCAGTGTGCAGATGTTATTTCATTCCCTGACCTCTAAAAGGTCAGCTCCAGTCAGCCTCACTTGCTCACTTGATTCATTTCAGGGTCTGAAAATGACGAACTTAAAGGCGTCATGCAATGAGGAGAGAAGGATTGAAGAAGACTGGCAGAGGAAACACTGAACTAATTATATAGCATAGCTCCGAAACCAGAGCCTCCTGAGATGTATAGGATGGAAGGCTGTAGAGACTGGCACGACGTTCTGCTCAGTTGGTTGGAAACAGGCCCATTTGGACAAATGTGAAATAGCAATGGCAGTAGTTTGCTTATCCTTCTAGAAGAAGGAGGCCAGTTGCTATCAGAGAGGCCACCTGGAGGAGTTGTTAGAGTTGGAGTAAGGAAATGGGACTGATCATTGGAGTTGTGTCCAACATATGGAGGAAATCTGCTCAGATCTGCTTTTCATACTAACCAAGGACAGAGAACGCTGCTCTCAACAGTTGGGTGGTCATTGGAACAGAAAGGGTTAAGTCTTTGGCTTGCCACTGGGAAAGCCTAAGTCAATGATGACTGGCTCAAGGAGGAATGCTGGCCTTAGTCATCAATGCCAGGTAGCTTCTAGAGCCATTAAGTCCAATGATCAACACACAGGCCTCTTGAGGGGCACTGGCTTCTGAACATGCTTTTAGACATCCTGAGTGGCTTCAGGAGAGGGACATAGCTCACTCACCAAACCACTGCCCAGCCAGATTCTCCCATTCTGTACTCACAGATCTTAATTTTCTGAATATAAAATAGGATTCTGTTTTATCCCTGCTAAATATCATAGTCTTGATTCTTATTTTTGAGTCTTGATTCTTAGCTGTTTCTCCTAGACTTGGATCATTAGTAGATTATAGAATGCTTCCATAGTCATCACCCACATCATTGTTGAAAGCGTTGACTAGAACAATGACATAGACCCAAGTGACATAACAACCTCATCCAGGAATGTCAGAGAACTTTCATCAGTACTCTCAGAGGACCTACTCTAAATCCATGTAACTACACTCTCATCCAGTCCCTCTTTTCTACAAAGACTATATGAAATGTTTTTCCTAAAGCCCTGTGGAACTCAAGATACTTTCAATCTAAAGCATTCCTCTGAACCAAGTTCTAGAAGCTTATCAAAAAGAAAACAAGATAAATATGGCATAACTTGTTCCTAGTGAACTCAAGACAACTTCTGGAGAACATTGCTTTCTTTCCTAAGTTCTAAAAATCTGGCTAATAATTTAGTGTAAACTTATCTGGCCTCTCATATGTTATGATCCATTTTAATTATAATTCTAGAACTTTCTACCAGCTCCATTTTATCTTTCTTTATAAACTTTGTGACAGACTCTAAAATAGGCCCAGGAAAGCCTCAAATAACACATTATTCAAGGTCATCTTGTATTATGGCTATCTTTTCTCTGTTTGTGTATATACTGTCTCTCACAAAGATAGTGGAGCCTTTTTGAGAGCAAGGTCCATGTCTCCTACTTTTTTGACAACACTCCTCATATCTCTAGCCAATAAAATCCTTGCACTAGTGGGTACTCAATATTCCTTGGCCAATTGGGAAATGGCCTATGCTCATGGAAAAGGAGGAAAGAAGGGTATTTATTCATATAAGGATAGATGAATACTGATGGAAATCTGACTACCAGTGGTTGAAAAGTAATCCAGAAAAATTTAAAAGGAACAAGAAGACTGTCCCAGAGGCTGGGAGTAGAAGCAGCAGCCACCAGTCTAATGCAGAAATCCTGGTAAAGACCTGGAGTAAGCTGGTAAAGACATGATGGTAAAGACCTGGAATAAGCTGGCTTCTGGGTGACAAAGAGAGGAAGGGACACTTTGGGGTTCCCACGGGACTTGATAGCCAATCGCTAAGAATGGGTGAGACAGAGCCCTGGTCTCTGACACTCAGGCTTAGTAAAGCACCAATTCTGTAACAGATTAGGGGTAGATGATCCTGGAGTTCCCTGCCCATTGTCAAGTGTGGGATGGTCACATGGAATACAGACCAGATTTCCTTTGTTTTCGTCAGACTCCAAAATGCAGCTGCAGTTGGTGAGCAAGACAGCTTTGTTCAGGGCACGAAGCATGGAAGGGAAGCTCCCAGAGGCTGCAGGGAGGCTCAGCTGACAGCATGATGGAACTCTAGGGAAGGACAGAGAGGACCAGGAACCCCTCTTCCTGCCTTCACCTCCTCAACTTCTTGCTCCCCCAGTCTTCCTCTTACCTTCTTTGCTCTTCATCTCCCAAGCCAAGCTTTATCTGGGGAAGTCAGGAGTAGGGGCAGGGCTAGCACACAGCTGGTATAACCTGATACGGTCTTATACCCGCTGTTTATAGCTACAACTGCTCTGATTGGCTGGAGCCTGTGCCATACCTGTTATTATTTTGGCATCTCTCTGAGTGCGGGGCATGAGGTTCAGTGGCCCCTAGGCGGAGGGAAGAAGTAGACACAGACCCTCCAAACAGGAAGTTCTGTCCCCCAAAAGAGAGGCTTTGTGCACTCAGGGGACTGGTGCATTTTTGCCCTTTTTTTTTTTTTGAGTTGGAGTCTCACTCTGTTGCCCAGACTGGAGTGCAGTGGCCGCTCCCGGCCACCGCAGCCTCGACCTGCTGGGCTCCGGCGATCCTTCCGCCTCAGCCTTCCGAGTAGCCGGAATTACAGGCATGCGCTACCACACCCGGCTGATTTTTTGATTTATTGTAGAGATGAGGTCTCGCTGCCCAGGCGGGTCTCGAACCCACGGGCTCAGGCAATCCACTCACCTCAGCCTCCCAAAGGCGCGGGATTACAGGCTGAGCCACCGAGCCCGGCCATTTTTGTCCTTTTAAGGGGTTGCCTGTTTGACAGCTCCCAAGAATGTTTATGTTCCTGAGGACACTCTCAACTAGCCTTTCTTAAGTCCTTTCCTGCCTCCCTTTCTTAAGGCCCCATTTGAATATCCAAAACTAAAATCTCAGGCTCTTCTCTGGATGGAACCTCAAAAATCACGTCGCTTCATGGCAGAGATCAGAAAATTGAGACACAAAGAGGAAATGCCTTATCTGAAGTCACAGAGCTGAGATTAACACCCTAGGTTCCAGCATCCAGGCTGTGGTCAGGTCATTGTTCCACCAGAACTCATCCTCTCACGTCCATGGGCCTTTCTGCCCACTTGCCTCATCCTTCAATAGCCTCCCGCCACTAGAGCAGACCAAACTCTACAGCTTGGTTTAGAAATGCCTCTAGTCTCAATGGTTCCCTGAGACCAGGAGACATTTATAGAGGCTCCAAAGGCCGCCTGCTTCTCCCCTAGGAGTTACCTCTATTTTCTGAACCCTAATTTCTGACCCACCCCTGCTCCTTCACTCCAGCTTCCTGGTAATGGGGAGACAGGGATAGAAGAGCAGAGGTTTTGAAGTCAGACTGGGATTCAACTCCTGTCTTTGCGTTCCCAGTGGGTGTCCACGAGCAAGTCTTTCGACCACTCAAGAGCCCCACATTCCTCTTCTGAGACACCACGATCATCATAGCATCTTCCTCATTGGGTTTTAGTGAGGAGTAAATGAAGTAATGGAAGCAAAATGCCCAGAGCACAGAGCAGGTGTGTACTAAATGAAGCTTTCATTCTCATTGTCACCAGTGAGGTGAGACTTGCCCTGCCCAGATCCTGCAACCCTCAGCCCTTCTCCAGGCATGAATGAGATTACAAAGACCTGGATCATGGGAATTTGCTTAGCCGGATTTAAGAAGTCAGCTGACTCTGCCGTCTATACCAAGGAAATCTAGGCCAGAGGAGCTGGGCTTTTCACTGGGTTCTGAATTACCTCTAGTTAGAGAGATAAACAAATCCTCGCCACTGACCCTGGACAGGGAGTGGAAAAGGTGAGGTGGCCAGAGCAATTAATTTCTGCAAATGCCCTTTAGAAGAGGAAAAATGAGGTTTCTGCCTCAGAGGAGAAGTGAGAAGCAACAAGGGAAAACGGGATGCAAAGACAGAAGGAAACCCTGTGGACTTGAACTCAGGCCAGAGGGATTAAATCTCCCCCGCACCCCCTTTCCTCTCCATGGAAACTTCCTCAATACCAACAGCTCCCAGCCCTCCACATCCTGTCTCTCTGCCTCCTCCCTTCTTCCTGTGGGGACAAGGTCTACTCAGGATTGTCAGTCCCTAAACACAGACCAACTTTCTTAAGACACTAAACCATAGGTCACAGCTGGTTCATCAACACCTCCTGTGAGGGCTGGAAGGCTCTTTAGAGGGTCCTCCCCACACCCGAGTCCTCTGGCTCCAGTCAGACTGGTCCTTTCACATAGGAGGCATGTTGCCTTAACTCCAAAAACTAAGGCTAGTCCCAGCTCTGTTACTCGCCAGCTGGAGATCAGCAGGCCACAGTGTCAGTCTCTCTGGGCCTCAGTTTCCTCTCTGTACAATGGTGGGGGTCGACTAAAACCTTCCATGACTTTACCAGCCTGACCTTTCACACTGTCTGGCATAATCCTATTCCCAAAGGTTTCTCAAGGCCTTTCCTCAGCCTGTACTGAGCACAGGCCCACATTCCACCCCAAGCCAGGAAGGACTTCCTATTACTTGATTTCATTCCTTCCATTTGGACTGTAGAGATGCAACTCCTAACCCTTACCCTAAAACCCTAACCCCTAGCCACTCCACATACCAGCG